TCAAGTGGATTTTCAGAACACTAAGATTAGTGTAGTGAAATATGACGGCAAGATTAATTTTGGTTTGTGGATAAGCGACGTACAGGATGCGCTCAATGCTCAAATCTAGAGGAGACCATCATGGTCGATGTGAGTCCACCTAAATATGAAGAGGCGATATGGGAAAAGATAAATCGAAATGCTTGCGGGGTGATCAGGTCCTGTTTAGAACAAGAACTGAAATATGATGTGATTGGGGTAACGTCTGCAATAAAGATGTGGGAGATTCTCAACAACAAGTATCTCACGAAGAGTGTTGAGAACAGGTTGCACTTGCTGCAAAGATTATTCAGATTTTAGATGTCCAGAGGCACCTCGCTTGCGGCTCATGTGAACAACTATACTAAGTTGTTGTCGGACTTGGCGAACGTGGATGAGAAGATCACAGATGAGTACAAGGCTATTATTCTTTTGGGCTCCTTACCGGATGAGGAGTATGATACCTTCGTGCTTACGTTGTTGAACGGGAGATCTTCTATCACTTATAGTGAAGTGACTAACGCATTGACGAACTATGATTTGAGGAGGAAGGATAAGGAGACTTCCCGCGCTAGTACTTCAGGAGAGGCCTTGTCGATGAGTGGTAGAAGCTCATATCAGAAAGGTGGAAATAGAGTGATGTCAAAGTCAAGAGGTCGTCACAAGCTTGGAAAGAACTAATGTGCATTCTGCAAAGAGCAGGGACATTGGAAGAGAGACTGCCCGAAAGTCAAAGAAAAGGAGAATAGCAAGAATAAGGGCCCGAAGGCCAATGAGGTGAATGTTGCGAAAGGCGATGATTCCGATGATTCGAGCTTTTCTCTTTTGATTACTCCGGATGTAAACCATTTGGATGCATCGGAGTGGATGCTTGATTCTGACGCTACTTATCATGTGACTCTTAGGCGAGATTGGTTTTCATCATTTGAGAGACTCGATGGGGGTGTTGTTATCATGGGAAATGATCAATCCTGTGGCGTTTATGAGATAGGTACTGTGAGGATTCGGATGCACGATGGAGTAGTCCGTGAGTTAAAGGAGGTGAGATTCGTTCCTCAACTTAAGAAGAATCTTATCTCAGTTGGGGCTTTGGAGGCGGAGGGATTCAGGGTGACCTTTGAGGATGCTGTAGCGAAGGTTACTAAGGGATCTTTGGTGGTAATGAAGGGAGTTCGCAGTCATAATTTATACTATCTGAAGGGGAGCACCGAGATTGGCCAGGTTGCTTCAGCTATTTCAGAGGCGGACATGAGCAGACTTTGGCATTACAGGTTAGGGCACACAGGAGAGAAGTCACTGCAGGCTTTGTGCAAGCAGGGGCTATTGAAGGGAGACAAGAGTGGAAAGATTAAGTTCTGTGAGCACTGTGTTCTTGGCGAGAAGATGAAGGTGAAGTTCGGGACAGCCATTCATAGGAAGAGGGGCATCTTGGACTACGCGCACACAGATGTTTGGGGTCCTACCAAGACGGCATCACTTGGTAGTCGACATTGGTTCGTCACATTTGTTGATGACTATTCTAGGCGTTGTTGGGTGTACACCATGAAGCATAAGAGTAAAGTCCTAGATTTATTTGTGGAGTGGAAGAAGAGATTGGAACTGCAGACAGGGAGAAAGATCAAGACGTTGCGTTCTGACAACGACGGCGAGTATACTTCAGACCCCTTTCAGCAGCTATGTCGAGACGAGGGCATAGAGAGACACTTCACAGTTAGTCATACACCGCAGCAGAATGGGGTGGCAGAGAGGTTAAATCGGTCTTTGCTGGAGAAGATTCGATGTTTATTGGCGCATAGTGGTTTGGAGAAGATATTTTGGGCTGAGGCACTTTCTTATGCGAGCCACCTCATTAATAGGCTGCCTTCATATGCGATTGAGGTGAAGACCCCTATGGAGATGTGGTCGGGAGAGACAGCACATGACTATGACCAGCTTAAGGTATTTGGTTGCCCTGCATATTATCATGTTAAAACTGATAAGTTGGAACCTCGAGCTAGGAAGGCCATATTTATAGGATTCAAGCGTGGTGTCAAGGGATACAAGCTTTGGGATCCAGTTGATAAGAAGATTGTGTTGAGTAGGGACGTCACATTCCAGGTGGAGAGCGGCCCGACAGAGGAGATATCGCAGGTGGTGGAGATTGATACAGCTCCACAGAGTCCAGATAGTACAGTATCCATTAGAGTGCCGACTGAGGTGACGCCAGGCGAGCACGACGGTGATGCGGAGGATACGGGTACTCATGAGCAGGATCAGGGACCGACGGCTCAGGTTCAGGATTCTATTACGGCACGAAGACAGAGGAGAGACATACGGGTGCTTGCACGGTATGCCGACACAGTTGCATATGCATTTCCGATGGAGAGTATCGATGAGATGGTGCCTACTACATTCAGAGAGGCCGAGCAGAGTTCGGAGGCTGATTCGTGGCAGGTGGCTATGCAGGAGGAGATGGAATCCCTTCATAAGAACGATACATGGGAGCTTGTTGAGCTTCCAAAGAGGCGGAAGGCGATTGGGTGCAAGTGGGTGTACATGAAGAAGGAGGGCATTGAGGGCACTCCAGTGAGGTTCAATGCTAGGTTGGTTGCGAAGGGCTATGCACAGGAGGAAGGTATTGATTACAATGAGGTTTTCTCTCCGGTGGTGAAGCACTCTTCGATTCGGATTCTGCTAGCTTTGGTGGCACAGTATGGATTAGAGTTAGATCAGTTGGATGTGAAGACGGTATTTCTTCATGGTGATCTTGATGAAGAAATATATATGACTCAGCCATTGGGATTCCGAGCTGCAGGGAAAGATAAGTCAGTTTGCAGGTTAAAGAAATCGCTATACGGTTTGAAACAGTCTCCTCGACAGTGGTATAGGAGATTCGATGGTTTTATGCTTGGTCATTCGTACACTCGGAGCCAGTTTGATCCTTGCGTGTATTTTCGCAAGTTAAGAGGAGGTGCGTATATTTATTTATTGCTTTATGTCGATGACAAGTTGGTTGCCTCTAGTTCCAGGTCAGCTATAGATGAGTTGAAAGTTCAGCTTTCGAATGAGTTTGAGATGAAGGACTTGGGCGAGACAAAGCACATTTTAGGGATGGAGACCGACAGAGATAAAAAGAAGGGCAGGATTTGTTTGACACAGGTGGCTTATTTGAAGAAGGTTCTACAGCGATTTCATGTTAGCATGGATACGAAGCCAGTTAGTGTACCGTTGGGAGCCCATTTGAAGCTTTCAGCTGGCCTTTCACCGAAGTCAGTTAAAGACCGTGAGTTGATGTCGAAGACTCCATATGCGAGCGCAGTTGGGAGCTTGATGTACGCGATGGTATGTACGAGGCCGGATTTGTCACAGGCAGTGAGCATGGTGTCGAGATACAAGCACGATTCAGGAGTGGGTCATTAGGATGCCTTGAGATGGATTTTGAGGTACATTCTAGGTACTCTCAATATTGGTTTGGTTTATGAGCGGGACACTACAGGTGGGCAGTTATGCATTGGCTATGTTGATTCGGATTATATCGGGGATTTGGATAAGCGCCGGTCTACGACGGTGTATGTGTTCACTTTGACCCGTGCGCCGGTATATTGAAGATGCACCTTACAGTCTATGGTGGCTTTGTCTACGACGGAGGCAGAGTATATGGCAGTTACGGAGGCTGTGAAGGAGGCTATTTGGCTTCGAGGACTTTTGGAGGAACTTGGTATATCACAGAGGTCCGTCACTATTCATTGTGATAGCATGAGTGCTATCTATTAGGCGAAGAATCAGGTTTTTCATACGCGAACGAAGCACCTTGATGTTCGTTATCACTTCGTTCGAGATGTTCTTGAAGATGGCGATGAAGAGATTATGAATGTCCACACGAAGGATAATCCGACGGATATGCTCACAAAGGTGGTTCCGAGTAACAAGTTTGATCATTGCAGAAACTTGTTGAATATTTGTGATTGTTGAGGCCATTGGCGGCCATTTGGATGAACTACGGGCGGCTTGATCCCTTGGGAGAGGGGGTACGTAGGCAACCATGGTGGTGCAGCTGTATTTGGAGAGACGACACATTGATGCTCTTGGTTTGGTGTCGGCTCAGTTTTGACAAAATTCGCCGAGGTAGAGAATTGTGGAGAAATCAGAAAAACCAGATTTTCTGGCATAAGTCGACTCATGCACAAGGCTAAGTCGACTTATGGTAAGTCGACTTGTCAGTGTGCATAAGTCGACTAACGATCTGCACTGGAGTTGTGTTTTTTTTCTCTCTGCCAAGTCGACTTATCAGGCCTGATAAGTCGACTTATGAAGTGGTCTCCAGTTGCTGTTTTTCTCTCTGCCAAGTCGACTTATGCTCTCTGTTAAGTCGACTTACGATGGGTTTTTTGCATAATCAGGTTTCCTGTTTGCAGTCTGATTGGGTTTTTGTTTTGATATAAATAGGGAAACGATTTGTTAGGGATTTTTATCAGAGATTGAGGAATCTTTTGAGCATTGTGAGAGGGAGATATTGTGATTAAGGTGAGATCTTTGGTTGAGGGTTAGTTTGAGAGTTTTGTAATCATTTGTACTCTCCTTGAATTAGTGAAATCTCTTCATCCTCTCCCCGTGGACGTAGGCAAGTTGCCGAACCACGTATATCTCTGTGTTTGGTTTGATTTGTCGTAATTGGCTTGATTTGTGCAAGAGTGTGGCTTTCTTCTTCCGTGATCACAAGTTCGTTGTGTGTGCGTGCAACGCTTCCGCATAGGCGCGCGATAGAAAATTGTCTTAACATATCCTTAATTGTATCCGATCAAAAAAAAAAAAAAAAACAAGTACTTAGGTCTGTATTATATCAATACATTCTTTCTTAAACTACTTGCCTCAATACACAGGCTCTCACCATTAATCCGGATATGTTTGCATTTGTTGTATTTGAATACGCAAAGCAGTAGATTTAAGTGATCAAATAACAAGCAGCAAGTCTAGACTAGTGTTATCACATACATAAATTAATCTGACAGAACCGTGGAGGTAACAAACATTGACTTTACTTAACTACATAAATAGATCTCCTCTCTTTTTAAATACAAAAAGAAAACAGACAAATATAACTAGCCATTTAAGATCCCACAACTGAAGCTCACGGAATTCTTGCAAGCGACAATCAAAGCTGCCCTTATTACCAATCAGCATTCGTAACAAGCACACACCAAATGCTCTCACACTATATACAACTTAATTTACAAACACCAAGCATCCACACTAGTAGGTGCACCTCTCTACTCCACCAAAAACTTCCCATTGACAAAGATCCTCACAACAAGAGCGTCTCTCTTCTACCTCCTCCTCCAGGGCTGCACCCTAGAATCTCTCCTCTCGGACGATGACCCCTCGTTCGTACTCCCACATGGCATCTGAAACCCGATGTTCTCCACAGCCCCCACTGTCTTGAAGTGCCGCCTGCTCAACTCCTCCACCAGCGTCCGGTGCAGCAACTGGCTTCTCAGGTCCACAAAGGATCGGTTCCTCAGCAACGAACAGTTGTGAACATGCCTCTTGCCTCTGCAAACTGTTGAAGAGGATTCGGATGGTGGCATACTGCACTGCCTTTGAAATTTGAGGTCAGGTACTTGGCATTCTTCAGGGAAGAACCTCGTCAGGTTGTGATTCTTGTTTGTGTGAGAGGGGTGGGGTTCGGTTTCATGCTCATTGCCTGAGGAGTAGTTTATTGATGAGTACCTGCCAGAGTGCATTGAGCTTGTGTCGTCTTCGTCGTCGTCGTGAAATAGGCCATCTATATGCACAATCAAATTTTTAGTGAAAACCAGTTAAATAGATAAGGACAGGTCATTAACATGCAGTGTGCGCATGATATGCAAATAAAATGCGCATGATGTACAAATATAGTGATGCTATACTTGTGTCTGTAAGACTTAATTGGATGAAATAAATATGCATATTCGGTTATTTCTCTATATCCAGAAGAGGGAAAAAAAGAGTCAGCAGGATTTCACTGTATCCAAAAACTAAAGAAAAGCATCTTCAGGAGAGAGTTTTTTAATTGAGAAAATATACCTCCTGCCAAATCTTGATAGGGCTCACTATTCCGATTACAGCTCTGTCGATGCTGGTTCATGCCATAAACTGAGCCCTGATACGAGGAACTCGGAGAAGACAGATAACAGAAAGGGTGACCACTTCCGTCTTCAGCATCATCTTCATAGTTGTACACATGATGATCCTGCTGATGTTGATCAGCTTGTATTCCTCCGTTCCATTCTGGCACCAGAATTGAGATCTCCTGAGCTATCACTTCGGCGATTTCAGCTGGATCTCGGTCTGTGATCTCCAGTTCCTTCACCATCTCATTTGCAACGTCTACTGGTGTGTCGGTGAGGATGTCAAAAGGGAAGTATATGTTCCTTAGATGACCTGCTCAATTCATCAGTTATTGGGATTACAGAGTTCAACAAAATAGCTTTGAACTTTATGGGTAATAAGTAGAAGACTTTATAAAGTCAGCAAGGTATTATGTGCACATAATTTAGACTCTTTACGTAGAACTTGGATCATCTCCACTGTAAAAATGCATTGGAGAACTTCAACATAAAACGGCAAGTAAATTTCAAAAAGCACCCTCAACCTTGGATAGTTTTATTCAAAAACCTTGAAGGCTTGAACTTTATAAATCATATAAAGTTACCCGAGCTTTAAAAATTATACTAAACCCATGTGAACTATTGAAAATTCTAGTAAAGGATGTTAACAGGTAGAGTTAAAAATTCTGCACTTCCATTTTTTTACATTTTACCTATCCTTACCAGGAAAGTCTAAAATAGAACTTCTATTTAGTAGTTTGGAATAAAATTGTCCAGAATTTGTGACCTGTCGAACATGCAGCACTAAACTGATTACAGTTAGTCGTGATACCTGATGAAACTAGTTTAGAGGTTTACTATGATTTAGAAAGTTTAGGGAAGCCTTGATCAAAATCCCAAATTTCGGGGGATTTTGAAAAATTATCCTAAAACTGTCACTTAGTATTTAGGAAAACTGTCTCTTAGTATTTAGGACTGATATACGCCAACTTGAGTATGTGATTGCACAAAAACACGAAAACACGAAAACTACTGAATAGACACTATTTTTTACTACAAAGAAATAGACACTAGAAATGCAAAAATATCACTTTTGATGTCTAGAGAGATGTAGAGAACTTACCATCTTTATCGGCAATCTGAACTTTCAAAAAGATAGTATCGTCTTCAGGATTCATCTTCCCAGTGATAGTCATATCTGTTCGCTTTATGGTTTTGCTTCGATCAAAATCACCTGACATATTTTGGTGTTCCTGCCTACTTGTGCCAATATCCATAGCTTTAAAGGCCGATGTAGGAAGAGGAACACGGTGATCATCATCTAAAAGAAAAGGGTCCAATAAAAGCTCCTCAGCTGATGATCTCGTGGATGCGGTCTCCAAGCATCGACCAATGAAACGTTGTGCTTCAGGGTCTTGTATTCTATAGAAAACATCTGGTAGCTTTCCCTGAAATGAAAAAAAATACTTTGAATACTGATACCTTTTAATATGGGGTTAGCTTACTAACTGCCCCTGTGGTTTCATTATTTTTTTTGACTTTTTTACCCTCGGTGAAATGTTGGCAGATATTGCCTCCGGGTGAAATTAGTGAGTTTATTTGAGGGTAAAAGAGTCGAAAGAATTGAATTTGACCCAGAAGTTCTATACACTACCATGAAACTACCAGGTCAGTAAATTCAAGGCAGTGGTACTACAAGGGGGCTATGTACAATAACCCTTTAATCTCAAATTTTAGTTAATAATTCACCAAGGACTCAGAAACGTAGAAATGCTAAGAAAAAAAAATAAAATCTAACATACCGTTGTGACTTTCTTGTAGATTTGAGCAGGATTGTGGCATTCACTGTAAGGGTACTCAGTGGTGAGCATTTCGAGCACACACATACCAAACGAGTATATGTCAACAAGTTCATTATACTCTTCTTCATAGAGTTCTGGCGCCATAAACTCCGGAGTACCTGAATTAATTTCCAAAAAAAATTTCAAAACTGAAGTGCAGTTACTAAATTATGATTTTCACTTTTATCTTGAGCAAATAGTTTAAGATGGATTGCCTATAACACTGTGAGCTGCCTGTGAGCCTCGAAGAACAGCAGCAAGGCCTAAATCACCAATTTTGACTTGGCCTAGATGGCCATTGACGAAAATGTTGTCACATTTGAGATCTCTGTGTATTACTGGAGGATCGTGGCCGTGGAGGTAAACTAGGCCGTGGAGGATCTGGCGGGCCCAGCCTGTACCTGGATTATATTTCATATATCAATTTGTCCATTTTTTGTTATTGCTAATTGAGTTCAAGAAATATGAGTCCCTTAAAAGATCAATCCTTAAATGACCAAAACTGAAGGAAAAATATAGATTGTAATACAGTATCCTGGTCTCTGCATATTCTACTCATTCATCGGTATTTCACTCTTGTTGCTTTATCAGATATCAGGCATTTCATCGGCAACTTATTCAAAATAACTTTAGGCCTGTTTGCATGTGTTTCATAAGGATTCAGATATGGATCTCAAGCTGAACATGTTCAAAATATTGTCTGAGATGAGTTTTCCCACCGTTAGGTTGTTAAGTAACAATGTATAAGAAGGCAACAAAAATTGGTAATAGTTACTGACTTATACCGGAACAAAAATCATACATTTGGTTTTCTGGAGCAGCTGAGAAAAGGTAGAATCTTAGCAAATCTACCTCCCTGTATCAAATCAGTATCCTCTATTTTCTTTTAGAATTAGGTGAACATAGTTTCCTTCATGAATGCATAATTGTCAATCCTCCCTTTATTTTTTTGGTATCTATTTACATATTTGAACAAAAGTATTACAGAACATACTAACTAAACAAACTTCTGTTGAATTTATTTTTCCTAATATTTCTGACGTATCAGCTTTTGAAATGACCGAAACGCTTATGTCTTTTACATCTATCTATATTCCTAAAGGGGGCCCCTCTTAATGTGAAGAAGAAGGAAGTTACATACAAAATTATATGGCAAAAAAAACAAAAGGGTTACTTCTTAGTGCGTACTCTCTTAATGTTCCAGAAGTGAACATTTCGGTGATAAAATTAAAGGTCCTCTGGCTGACATCAACCCAAGAGGCGTGATACCGAATGATTGATTCATGCTGAAGACTGCTGAGCAAGTGGACTTCAGAGTACATTCTCTGAAGTGCATCTGGAGACCGAAGCACATCGCACAACTTTGCCTGATTCCAGGCAACCTCGATACCGTTCAATTCATCGAATGCCCTGTAGCTGTTTTAGTGCCTGTCAAGGAATAAAATAGTCCATAGAACTAAAGTAAAGAGAGGGTAAAATATTGCACGTAGACCACCCGCAGTAGCATTGTTCTGAACTCGGATAGACTCGCTAATTTCACCCACGGCCATACTACAGGGGGTCTACGTGCAATTTGCCTTACAGGAAAAGTTATTTCTGCAACAGGTTCTGCTCTTGTCAATGAGAGAGTAATAAAGGATACACTGTCTTCATGGCTCCTTTTCCAAGCACTGCATCGAACTGCAAAGACATTTAACCAAAGAATTAATTGAGATGATGAGAGGGCTGTATTAATGTGAAATACATTGCCTGCAGCTTTATACTAAGCAGTTCAGCACAAGCTCCATTTATTGAGAGGTTGAAGGCAACAGAATGCTATACCGCAACTCTATGGGGGCCTATTTCGGAAGTTGTACATATATTTAAGCCTAACTGACATAGACCAGAATTTCATGGCAGAGATCAGAGAATAAGGCAAACCCATTCCTCTGAGCTCTCCTAAAACAATAGCCTAAAATTCTGTAAGTCATTCAGAATAATTAAAAACTGTTTTTATTTACATAACAGATTTTAGGCATTTTAGCTACATCTGCTTGTTTAGAGGATTCTCCACCGTCATTCAAGAGAGTGACATCATCATTCAAAAGGTGAAAAACAGAAGGATTTTATCGTTGGTTGTTGTGACCCTAGCTATGTGTAATCTCTTTCCGCTAGAAAAAGAAAATCTTCTATGCTATGCACATTCTTAAAGTCGACCTTTTTATGAGCTGAAACATGGCGTTATGCAGCAGTGTCAATTTTTTTAAAGTCCGCTCTAAATTCGAAGTCAGTGGGACTTAAACATGGATTACTTTGTTATCATCTTAAAGTTTCTGCCACTACATCGAAACACTGAAATTTTAATGAGAACTGACGGTTATATACTGATATTCTAACACACATTAATAAGTGCTTTAAAGTGCAGGCATCTATGCATGTGTCAATGATCAATGTTATGTGCTCTTATTCAATTCTCGATGTGCAATGACCTCCAATCCTTTGGAGTAAGAACAAGCTACATGGCTAGGATCTATTTGGTTGCAGATCGATGTGAGAAAAACTTTATAGAAAGAATAATGTAGAGATGCAAAGTTCATTCCAAAGTATTAATTAATTATTTACACCCAATCATATCAATCACCAAAAACAGACTCAGCATGTGATGTCCACCTCTAGTGCACCACTTTTTGGCTGCGCATGATCAAACCTACAGGTTTGTAGAGCCCCACGCGCCATATGTAGACATTGAGACTGTGTCGGCCATTTTTTATGGGACCCTGAAGAAAGCGGAGGACGAGATTTTGATGGTCATTGATGAAAGGTCTCTTCCATTCTAACAAATTAAACTTTGAAAATGAGATGTGTACTGTGGATTATAATTATATTAGTCTAATAATGCATCTTTGCATATTGAACATGTTTTTATGTGGAATAAAACATAGATTATTTTATACAGCTGCTTTAATGTGTGCCCAGCGGAATTTGAACATAGATTGCTTCGATATCGTATAAAAAATTTCTTTTGTTGTTCCAAAGCTCAAATTTTTTGGTGAGAACTTTTCAGAATGTAAAAAAATATAATCCTTATAAGTTAAAGTCTCTAACCATTATACATGCCCTCGTTGGTTGAGCACCATTTTTATGGCTAGAAACCTAGAGTCATGCAGGAGTGTCAATTTTTTTAAAAAAAACCCGCTTTAATTTGGTGGTCGGGTGGGCTTTGAACTTGGGTTGCTCTGATGGCAAGATAAAGTCGCTAACTATTATACTAAAACTTTAAAATTGTGATGAGATCCGGAAGTTATCTTTTTATATTCTAGCAATGATGAGGATTATCATGTCATACTCTAACATCAATTCTTAGCACATATGATCATTATTTTTAGAAAAGCTATGGAGTACACCTATTCAATAGTAAACAGTGGTAGTCTAAAAAGAATGTAACGATCAGAGACTTCTCTCCTCTCTTTGAACCACTAACTTTCCAATTAGCACCATCCCAATTAACACATGACCAACCAAAAAAACTCCACTTGTTGCCATTGCCTTTTCCTTCACGGTGATTGTTTCCTTTTGTTTTTTCAAGAATCTTCTCTCTATGGTTCAGGAAAACTGTTTTTTTTTTCTTAGTTCTACGGACAAATACATGATACTGTAGAGAATTATATTTATTTATTCTGTTAATTTTGGTAAAAAATTCTAAAGAAAGCGTGACATGCTTCAGAAAAGTGTGACATAACTCCATTTTTTTATAATTGGAAGACCAAAACAACAATATAAATTAATGTGTACTTAATTCAATCGGTACGGCCGGATCAACTTCTTGTAAGGTTTCATTATTTTAATTCAATCTTCAACTCTGACTGAACCCACCGGCATTAAATTATGTTAATAATTGAAACTGATGTAATACCAAGGTTTTGTTAGTTTAATATAACAAGTTGACTTTGCTTAACCACCCAAAAAAAAAAAGTCCAGAATAGTTCATTATTCAAAAGAGGCCTATGTAATTTATAAAAAAAAATGAAATAATATCATATATAGAATCAAGTCCTCATATTAACCCCCCAAAAAAACTCATATCAACAATAAACTTTGCATAATTTTGACATGTATAAACCAGCTATTATCACATGTTAATAAGTCATGACCCTATTCAAGACCTGCAAGACTTTAGGCAATCATGCATACATAATTAAACATATGTGTACAGCATAACAACACGTAATATGAAACAAAAAGGGGAAAAAAAGAAAAAAACAAATCAAACCGTGACACCCTCACATTGCAGATCAAAGCCCTATAATCCCAATATGAAAATTAAACTTAATTTATTTAAAAAAATAATAACTTCATGATAAGATTGAAAAATTGAAAATTACAGAGAAATGAATGCTGAATAAGATTTTAAAAAAAAATTAAAGCTTACCCGACCGTATCGGCTTGCTTCTCGCTTGAGCATGCATCGCTGTTCGCCTGCTCCGGCACCAAACTGTCGTCGAAACTTAATTAAATAATGGACTATATATATACGTAGGCTAGCTTTATCTAGTACTATTGGATTTTTTTTTTTTTCTTCTTCTTCTTGCTTTCTTAATTTGATCGCGTTGAGAGAGCGGAAAATTAAATCCCGGAAGCCGAACGAATGCTAGATCCGGGGCTTTCCTTCGTGGTTTTCGTAGGAGAAAACGCCGAAGAGGAGCCAAAAGAGTCTCGAGTAGTCGATCCTCAGTATAATCCAAGCCATCTCAATGAGGAGCTGAGAAGCACGTGATGAGAAGTCGTCGAAGCACCTAGCCAACATTGATGTTACAACTGATCGAGGATTAGTTTGTTTTCTCTCTCTCTCTCTCTCTCTTTTTTTTTTCGTGGGGATTTTATTGGCCACACAAGGCCGAAAGATATTTGGAGGTACGTATGTGTTGTATTGTATCTTTTGTGGGTATTATGGGAATTGTTTGTTTAGCTAGTATGTTAAGAGAAGATGTTGGGGGTAGAATGGGAAGGGGCCCTGAACTTGAAGAATCTATGGCTTCTTTTTGATAGCGCCATTTGTGGAAGAGGAGTTTTGGGGTTGGGTTGTTACGGGAAGAGAAAAGGAAAGGAAAAAAAAATTAAGGGAGATCGAAGGGGTTCGGTTCAACCTTGTGTTTTTGTTCTTTCTCTCTCCGGGGAGGCGTTTGAGTGTGGGAGACCGAGGAGAGGGAGAATCGGGAGACGTTAAAAAGGGCGGGGGGGGACTGGAGAGTGGGAGACGCAACTGGGGGACGTGGGACCCAGCATTGTTTTTCTATGTAAATTGTCTGCTTTCTTTTTTGCCTCTTGCGATTTCATAATTTTTTTTAAAAGGGTTAATTACAGAAAGCATTCATGAAACCCCTTAAAATTTAGGAGTTTGTTGCACATGACCATCATAAACTTATTATTTTATTTTACTAAAGTTCATGTGAAAGTTTCTCATTTAATCCTCAAATTAGAACCATCGATTCTAAGATATTATGTGGTAAGCACGTGTCCGAAAAAGAGATGAAAATAATTCCTTATCCCCAAAAAATCTAATTTTCCATTTACGTAAAGCAATAACTTTTTTGAGACTAAGAATAAGGAATTTTTCGTCTCTCGTTTTTTCTTGTCTTGTGCTTATCAATGATATGTTAGAATTGATGATGCTAATATAAAGAATTTTTTTAATATAATAAAAAAAAGTTAATAGTAGCTTACTGAAAGTCCTCAAAAGCTCGTGGGAATTTTGTTTTTTAACCTAACCCTTCTTAAAATGATTATCCTGAGGTTGGATTTGGTGGAGTCAATTGTTGATGTCAGGTGATTGACGGGGTAATTAAGATGATTTGTTAGAAGGCAAGGTCCTCTCTTTTTTTCTCTGTTTGAAAATGAAAAGTTTCTTCCTGAATAAGTAATAGAAAACAATTTTAACTTTCATAAAAACAATTAAATGATTAGTGTGTTAGATTTGATGTCCGAGTTCGATTGGATCAACCCAAAATTAAATATGTAAATCTCATTCAAACTCAAGTAAGCAATTATTTTATTTTTATTGCTATTTGCTATGACGCAAATGATTTTTATTAAAAGAAACCACTCATCCTAATGTTTTTTGCAGCATGATCAAAATCATAAAAACACAACTATCGTAATCTTATTGGGAGCTCCAACGAGACTTTGACTATATATTAAGACGACATATATTATCATTCAACTACAAATGATTCGCTTAATTTTATACCCTGGCTGTTCATTAATTGTATGTGTTCTGTTTTTTATCTTAATCTCTATCTTGCAACAATTTATCAAAACTATATAGTGTTGGGAATTTTAACGCCTAAATCCCCTAATGCAACGGAAACGCGGTATAGAGAACAGTACACCAAGATTTACGAGGTTCGGCAACTGCCTACGTCCTCGGGAGCCACACAGATAATTTCTTATTTACTCTAACAAGAAATTACAGGTCAAGAGCAAATCCCTAAACTGGGATTCCTCAAACAAACACTGTAGCTACAGTGTTAATCCCCACAATAAAATAAACCCTCTTCTCTTTTCTCTCTCTTCCTCTCCTTAAATCCCCCTTTCAACCACTGTTGAAAAGCTGGGGTTAATTAGAAAATCGCTGCTGCGATTTTGAGAGAAGAAACGCTGCTGCGTTTAGGGCTCCGCCGCCAAGAAAACAGGGGGGAAGAAGCACGGAGACTAGGGCATCAGGGGGCTTCTATTTATAGCCGGAAATTGGACAGGCTGGCGACAGCCTGTCGCCAGCGCCTCGCTCGGACGCGGAGGTGGGAACTTCAGACGCGGAGGTGGGAGGCCAGTGACGCGATGGTCGTCGTCGCCTGACGCGAAGGTCGGAGAGCTCTGAACGCGGGGGTCGGACCTGAGGGTCGCGTTCGCCCCAAACCACCATCGAGTTCGCCAAGCTCGAGCTCGCCTGGGGGTTCGCCGCCGACTTCGCCACTCGTCGGAGCTCCTCGCCGGCGCTCCTCATCGGAAATGAGGTTTGATCTACACCCCAATTCTAACAATCTCCCACTTGGAGATCAAACCGCCGTCAATCAGGCTATCTCATCAAGCTCCTCTCCTGTGTGGCTCCGCCCTCATCATCTATGCATGAAGGCCAACTGAAGTTGCGCACAACTCCAGTTTCTGAACTGTCACCGTCTTTGTTAACATGTCTGCTGGATTCTTACTTCCTGGAATCTTTTCCAGTTTCAACACGTCATCTTCCAACAGGGATCTGATGAAGTGGTACCGAAGCGCAATATGCTTCGTTCTAGAATGAAATGCGGAATTCTTCGCCAAGTGTATCGCACTCTGGCTATCACTGTGCAAAACATTCTTCTCCTGTTTGAATCCCAGCTCTGTCAACAAACCTTGAAGCCATATCATCTCTTTACTGGCTTCAGTCACTGCAACATACTCAGCTTCTGTAGTGGATAGGGTAACGATCTTCTGTACCTGTGACATCCAACTAACAGCTGTAGTTCCAACGGTGAATACATAGCCGGTGGTGCTTCTTCGGTGATCAACTTCGCCGCCAAAGTCTGCATCTACGTACCCTTGCACTTCTACCTCTCCCTTACCAAAGTGCAAACACTTCTGTGTGGTGCCTCGTAGATATCTCAGAATCCACTTGACCGCTTCCCAATGAGCTTTTCCTGGATTCGACATAAACCGGCTGACCACTCCCACTGCATGGCCAATGTCTGGTCTCGTACAGACCATAGCGTACATCAAGCTT